AAAAAAAAAAAAATAAAAAAGATTACTTAGCAAAACTTCTATCATAAAACAAATGCCCTTAGAGTAGGAACATCGTGGTAACACCGGTGCGTTGTGGGACATGTAGTTTCGGGAGTAGCCAGGCTTTCCCCAGTTCTTAGAGAATGGCCAGGAAGAACGACTTCCTGGCCAGTGAGCTCAGGACCTTCGGGGGACATCCAGGGGGTGTCGAGTGTGTGTATCTGTGCGATGACTCGAAATCATACCCATCCTCTCCCAGCGACCGAACTCGGGAGCGTAGCGACTCCGAGGAGGGCGCGCGGCGATGGCGTCACCACCCGGCGTCGCCGCCTTGGTTTCCCTGGCGACCGGCGGTACCCGGGTGCCGCGGCTGGGGAGATGCTGCCTAGGCGGCCGCGGGACCCCCTCCAGGCCCTGAGGCGCCGCAGTCAGGAGCTGAAGCAACAGGTACGGTCAGGCTGTGAGGTGAGGGGCCTGGGCTCCGGGCGAGCCCGAGGTGGGGCGCCGCTGCGCGCGCCGCGCTTTCCTCGCCCCGACTCTACCCTGATCCTCGGAGCCCCTCCCGGTCCTACTACCTTCCCGAGCTGTACCGCTCGCCTACTCCGCAGTATCCCAGAGCCAAACTTGATTCTAACCCCTCCTGCTCCCAGCCCCGGGGTCGTGAAGACCAACTAACGCCGTCGGCGCTCACAACGTCAACCTCCTGCCCTAACACCTCCCTCCACTCACCTCATCTTTCAGTCTATAAACTTTTATCAACAACCGTTTCCAGCCCAGCTCTGGGCCCCGCTCCTTCCCTCCACTTTCCAAGCCCTTTCCTTTGAGCCTTCCGGTGGCGGCTGCTGTTGCTTCCCTGAACCCAAGTGAGGACATTAAGATCCCATAAATGAGCACAGGACGGGAAATACAAGTAACTCATGAACATATGAAAAAAGTTAACTCCAAAGATAAGTAATTGCACAGGAAATAAAAAATCACGACACTCGGTTCTTGAGAAGATCTGATGAAGCAACCACTTACATTCACTGATGCAGTGTATAAAGTGCCCGTACAGTACAGGGTGTTCCAAAGCCACCCTTAAAGTTTCCATACATAGGGAAAATGAGAAATTGTAACTAAATATACTTTTATTTACAAAGTATTCATTACAAAATTTTGCAAAATATTTACAAAATATTCTGTGCGTGCTGGCCACCTCTTTGTAAAAATTTGTAATGAATATTTTGTAACTAAAAGTATATTTAGCTACAATTTCCCATTTTCCCTATGTATGGCAACTTTAGGGGTGACTTTTGGGACACTTTGTATTTCTGGAAAGTAGCATGACAGGCTATAGCAAATATGCATGCTCTTCCCCTGGATAATTACGTTTCCAGGAATCTGCCTTTTGTAATAATTAGAAATCCGGGCAGAAATTTATGTATAAAAGTATTCATCATAAGATTACTTAAAATAGAAAAAAATGGACACAATTTAATAATGGAAAATGGATAAATTATAATGGGGTATAATACTATGAGAAAAAATTTATTAAAGAGATCTTAATGTGTTTGAGAAAATACTGGTGATAAAATGTCAACTTAGAAAAGGAATATAGAGCAGTGCTGATAGCTCAGTAGGTAGGGCGCTAGCCATATACACCCACGCTGGCGGGTTGGAACCTGGCCAGGGCCAGCTAAACAACAATGACAACTGCAAAAAAATAAAATAAAATAAAATAGCTGGGTGTTGTTGCGGGCGCCTGTAGTCCCAGCTACTTGGGAGGCTGAGGCAAGAGAATCGCTTATGCCCAAGAGTTTAAGGTGAGCTGTGAGCTGTGATGCCATGACACTCTATCCAGGGCTACAACTTGAGACTCAGTCTCAAAAAAAAAAGAAAAAAAGAAAAATATGCTATTTCCATATGTGTTTAAATATACAGTATACATAGAAAAATATAGAAAACAACATACTAAAATGACATCTGTGTGGTAAAATTTGATTATTAGGTATTTCTTCATAATTTTCATGTTAAAAATGTTTAATTCCCTAAGTGTATATTACTTTTAAAAATAAGAAACAAGGTCCATATACTATGGCTCACAACTGTAATTCCAGCACTTTAGGAGGTCAAGGCCAAAGATTGCTTAAGGCTAGAAGTTTGAGCTTAAGCTGGACAATGTAGTGATTTATCTCACTTCTACAAAAAATAATACAATTAGCTGGGCCTAGTAGTTGTGCATGTAGTCCCAGCTACTAGTGAGGCTGAGGCAGGAGGACAGCTTGAGCCCAGGAATGATCATGGGGAGATAGAACAAGACCTTGTCTCAAAAAAAAAAAAAAAATTAAAAAAGTAAGTAGCAATTAAAAAGTTATTTTCTGAAGTTCTTATTTTACTAATTTTAATTCTTTATGTGATCTATTACAGAATCTTTTCCCACAAAATTAAATTATTTTATGATCATTGGCAGATGAGAGATTTACAGATGCTCATATTTTGTCCAGTTTTGAACCTTTATTTCAACCTAATTTTAAATTTAGTGAGGAATTAGGAGACCCAAGAAAAGTTTTAAAAGTAAACGATAAAAATGATTATTAAAACACACTGTGACTCCTGCCTGAAATCCTAGCACTTTAAGAGGCCGAGATGGGTGAATTGCATAGGCTCAGAAGTTTGAGACCAGCCTGAGCAAGGGTGAGACCCTTTCACTACTAAAAATAGAAAAACTAACCATCCACAGTGGAGTGGCAGGTGCCTGTAGTTCCAGCTACTTGGTAGGCTGAGGTAGAAGGATCACTTGAGCCCAACAGTTTGAAGTTGCTGTGAGCTATGACACCATGGCACTCTACGCAGGGCAATAAAATGAGACTCTGTCTTAACCTCACCCCCCCCCCAAAACCCAAAATAAAACCCAAAAAACCCAAACTATTGCAAGGACTATTTAACCTGGAGAAAAATTGGCTCAGGAGCCTTTTGATATCTTGAGTACCTGGAACGAGTGTTTTGATAGTATTAGCTAATTCTTCCCTGTCTCCACAAAAGACCCCTGAAACAAAAAATGGATCAGCTTTTCAATTTAGTATTCATGTGACAAGTAATTAGCAGCCACTCTAAGTTATGCTTATGACTGGCTCTGTCACTGAGGACATGAACTTTGTAAATAATATTCAGATAGATGCCAAATAGCTAGAGTAAAGAAGTTAATGAAATTCTATTTCTTTCTTCATCTACTTTATCATCTTCACAAAGTCTGTAGAGAAGAGATCAAAGAAGTGTGTGTCTCTATTGTGGGTACACTGACAAAGTTACATGTGGTATTTGTAAAATACTAAGTCAATGATCATTACAAAGCCTATGTATGTAACCAGATATCACCTGTACCCATAAATATATACAAAACTTTTGTATCAATTTTAAAAAATTTAAAAATCAAAGTCAAGATAAAGTTGTATATAGTACAATCAATGCAGTAGGTACTACTCAATATAAGGAGGAGGCTTGGTGCCTGCAGCTCAACAGCTAGGGCACCAGCCACATACACTGGAGTTGGCGAGTTCGAACCTGGCTCTGGCCTGCCAAACAGCAATGACAACTACAATAAAAAAATAGCCGGGCTATTGTGGCGGATGCCTGTAGTCTCAGCTACTTGGGAGGCTGAGGCAAGAGAATTGTTTAAGCCTAAGAGTTTGAGGTTGCTGTGAGCTGTGATGCTACACCAAGGGTGACATAGTGAGAGACTATCTTAAAAAAAAAAAAGTAGTAATAAGGAACAAATGAATGATACACACAACAATATGGGAGTATCTCAAAAATACGCTATGTGGAAAGTTACATGAGAGTACATATTCTGTGTGCAACTATGATATGAATTTAAAAATACAAAAAAGAGAGATGAAAACTTTAAAAAGCAAAGAGAGTACATATTATATGAATACAATTGTATAAAAGTTCAAGAGCAAAAAATCTGACTTATGGTGGAAAAAGTCAAAACAAATTTTATCTGGGTTGGGATTTACTGGGAAAGGCATGAGGAAGCATTCTAGAATGATGGTAATTTTCTGTATCTTGTAGGGATCTGAGTCACACAGGTATGTGCATTTGTTAAAAATGTACACTTCAGGATAGTGGATTTCTATGTATGTAAATTTTATATCAAATGATTTACCCGTAGCACATTAGGGAGAAATGTACTGATGACTGCAATTTACTTTGAAATGCATAAAAAACAAGATGGATTGCTACATAATTCAAATAAGTATAGTAAAATGTTAATGGGAGAACCTAGATAGTGGGTGTATTGAATATTCAACTGTAAATATCTTTCAACTTTGATATTTGTTTTAAAATATTCATTAGAAAATATTGGAAAAAGAAGTAAACATTTTTTTCCTAAGGTAATGTGATATTTAACAATATGGTATTTTAAACTGTCTGTTTGTTGCAGGTTGATGGTTTGCTTTCTGAGAGCCAATTGAAAGGAGCTCTAGAACCCAATAAAAGGCGAGATATTTACCAAAGGTAAAATATGCTAAGTCATATAAGTTTTCTAGGATCTACACTTAGAAATTGTTTGAGGCTGGTGTTTTTTTATTATTAATATAATTTCCAAGAAGACAATATTATACAGTAATGGGAAATATATTAAGGTAACATTGGGGCCAGGCACTGTGGCTCGTGTCTGTAATCCCAGCACTTAGGAGGCTGAGGTGGGTGGATTACCTGAGCTCACAGGTTCGAGACCTGTCTGAGCCAGAGCGAGACCTCTTCTCTAAAAATAGCCAGGCATTGTGGTGGACGCCTATAGTCCCAGCTACTTGGGAGGGTGAGGCAAAAGAATTGCTTAAGGCCAGGAGTTTGAGGTTACTGTGAGCTATGACGCAACAGTACTCTACCAAGGGTGACAAAGTAAGACTCTGTCTCAAAAAAAAAAAAAAGTAACAATGAATTAAATTTTGTAAAATGTACTCAAAAATATTTCTTACAGTTATCCTTATCTATCAGGTCTAAATAATGTAAAAGTAAGATTAAATGAGGAATTATAAATGTTAAGGGGGAAGGCAACTTACATTCCTTTTGTACTCTATGTGCCAAGCATTGTGCTCTGTACTCTATAAACTTTTACTTAATTAATCTTCACAGTAACACTGTGAAACACTTACTAAGACAGATGAGAAAATTAAGTTTCACATAGTCAATAGGTCTAACATTACTGTAAGAAAAAGTGAAAGACAAAAATGTTTTAAGATAGCTAAGAAATGCAGAATCAGTCAAGTTGGGGAAGGCACTTAACTATAATCTCAGAGAGGATATAGGCTTTGGACCTTTGGAATCATGTGGAACAATTACATAGAGACATAACTTGAATCTAGAAGGAACTAGTCTAGACACTCTAAATATGATAGCTGTTGTGATGGCATCTATACAAACTGCTTAGTGTGAACATCGTAGATTAGGCAGAATAACCCTATGTCCTTGGCTCAGATCCAGTGGCCTGATCACAATTATGTCTATAAGCAATTGATCCTTGCTTGTAATGGTGACTTTAACTTCCTTGAGATGACAGAACTGTTCTCTGGGTGGGTAAGTGTTTTTGTTTTTCCTTTATTTATGTTGAAATAAAGAGTTTATTGGGAGAGTTTAAAATTAAATAGACATGGGCTTGTTGCCCATAGCACAGTGGTTATGGTGCCAGCCACATACACTGAGGGTGGCAAGTTTGAACCCAGCTTGGGCCAGCCAAACAACAATGATAACTGCAACAAAAAATACCTGGGCGTTGTGGTGGGCACCTGTAGTCCCAGCTACTTGGGAGTCTGAGTCAAGAGAATCACGTAAGCCCAAGAGTTAGAGGTTGCTATGAGCTGTGATGCCATGGCACTCTAGTAAGGGTGACATAGTGAGACTCTGTCTCCAAAAAAAAAAAAAAAAGAAAAAAGAAAAGAAAATTAAATAGAATGAACTAAATTTAATTAAAACTATTAATACATTTAGGACATCATTAAGAATCTGTGTGTTTAAGATATTTGAAGAGTATATAGCATTCAAAACAACATGAGATTTGTTCTATTAGTTTAAACAATTCGTTAGAATTGTTTGGAAAAATTTTACTTAAGTCATGCATTCAAAGTGCTTAAAAGCAAAATTGACTTTTAAATCACTTTTAAAATGACAAATGAGATTTAAGTTATAATTATTAGTAGGACTGATTGTTTAAGAAATTTAGCTCAAGTTGAATTAATCAACAACTTTAATAAAGAAAAGTGAAAGTTAGCTGGGCATTGTGGTGGGTGCCTGTAGTCCCAGCTACTCAGGAGGCTGAGGGAAGAGAATTACCTAAGCCCATATGTTGGAGGTTGCTGTGAGCTGTGACACTACGGCACTCTACCGAGGGCAATAAAGTAAAACACTGTCTCTCTAAAAAAAAAAAAAAAAAGAAAAGTGAAAGTGATGGTACTTGCTTTACCAGATTTATTTATTTATTTATTTATTGGCTGGGGCTGGGTTTGAACCCACCACTTCCAGCATATGGGGCCATAGGGCTAGTGCCCTACCCTTTTGAGCCACAGGCACCACCCACTTTACTAGATTTAAAAACAGAATAAGATTTATGGAATAAATTTGAAGTCCCAGGGAAAATTAGGTTTTTAAGTTTTATTTTAGTAACTATTTTAAGCCTAAGTAACCATAAATAGTCTTCTCTGTGCATAAAAAGGTCCCCTCATGGTCATTTAACAACTCATGTTGAGGCCAGGTGTGGTGGCTCACTCCTGTAATCCTAGCATTCTGGGAGGCTGAGGCAGGTGGACTGCATGAGCTCACTAGTTCGAGACTAGCCTGAGCAAAAAAAAAAAAAAAGAAAGAAAAAAAAGCGAGACCCCGTCTCTACTAAAAATAGAAAAACTGAGGCAAGAGGATCACTTGAACCTAAGTTGGAGGTTTCTGTAAGCTATGACACCATGTCACTCTACCCAGCTCTACCCAGGGCAAAAGCTTGAGACTGTGTCTCAAAAACAACAACAAAAAAACCTCATATTGATATTTGCATGTCTGAAAATGTAATGTCATCCTTTCATTTGATTAATAGCTGGTTGTAGGACTCAAAGTAATTTCTGCTTAATTTTTTGAAGACACTGTTCTGTTTTCTTTGTAGGCAATGATGCTGATAAGTCTGATTATCATTTCTTTACCATGCGTCATTGACCTGATTTGGATTTTCTCTTTGGCCTTAGTGTTTCAAAATGTCATCATGATATATTTAGGTGTCAGTTTTTCTCTTCAACACTTAGTAGGCCTTTCAGTTTGAAAACCTATGTCTCTCGTGAGCTTTGGAAGGGTTTATTCTACAAAAGATAATTTCTTTTTGTTGTTTTCTTCCTGAAATACCTTTGAATCAGGTGTTGAATATCCTGGACTGCTCCTCTAGCTCTCTCTCTCTCTCTTTTTTTGAGATGGAGTCTCTCCCTTGTTGTCATTCCCCCCCCCCCCCCCTAGAGTGTAGTGGCATCATCATAGCTCACTGCAACTTCGAACTCCTGGGCTCAACCGATCCTTCTCTCTCAGCCTCCTGGGTAGTTGGGACTACAGACATGCATCACTATGCCTGGCCAATTTTTTAAATTTTTGGTAGAGAGACGGTCTCACTCTTGCTCTGACTGGTCTTGAGTGTCCTTCTTTCTTTTTCTTTTCTTTTCTTTTTTTTTGAGACAGAGTCTCACCCTAGGTAGAGTGCCAGGACCTCATAGCTCACATCAACCTCATTCTCCTGGGCTCAAGAAACCCTCTTGCTTCAGTCTTCCAAGTAGCTGGGACTACAGACATGCACCATTACACCCCATTAATTTTTCTATTTTTAGTAGAGACAGGGTCTCACTCCTGCTCAGGTTGGTCTCGAACTCCTGAGTTCAAGCAGTCTACCCACATCTGCCTCCCAGAGTGTTGGGATTACAGTCATGAGCCACTATGCTCAGCCTGGGCTCAGATTCTTTTAATTAATTAATTTTTGGTTAGTCTTAAATTTTATTTCACGTTGGTGGTTTTCTTATTATTTTTGGTTATCCTTGGTTATCCATTTGTGGTTAAGAATGAGGAACTAGGTTGGTTATCCTAGGAGCTTTCCTAGGTTCTTCCACTATTGTATGTATAGGTGTCTTTCTTCATCCCCTGAAGGAAAGTGGAATTCTTTATGAGTGGGCAGGGCTTAGTGTGGGCTGGGCACCAGCTTTTAGTCTTAGGAGCTTCTAATCTCAGAATGGATGGATTTTTAACCCTAGTGTACAGGAAACGTCTTTAGCTACCATGATTCTTCCCAGGTCATTCATTAATTTTTTTTAGAGAAGAATCCTCTGGTAAGGACAGAAAACAGAGAGTTAAAGTAAAAGAAAAAGAGGGCTAACTGTCTCACTCAGGTCAGATTTTTTAAAAAGGCACAGCAATTATTATAAAAGGGTCTTCACTAAATCTAAATGTAAATCAGTGTCTTTACTCTTTTTCCCATCTGTTCAAACATCTTGGTATCCACTATTAATACATGGATGATGGAAGAGAAGAGTCAGTAGCTCATCTGGGAAGGGTCACGTTTCTCCTCTGGTGATGGATAAAAGCTGTTTCTTTGTTAGCAGCAAACCTCCCTTATTGTCATGCAAGTCCTGCAGTGGGAGCCGACTGTGGTTTTTTTTCAGTTTGCTCAAGTACAGTGACACGTCCATTCCACCTGTGATAGATTGCTGCAGGAATAACTCCATGTCCCTAAAAATTGTATTTCAATGTGTGTTGTAGAATCTCCTTCATGCCACCTTTGGCTGGGTTTAAAAATTGACTTTCCTTGAAAGCCTAGAAACTATTTTAAACTCCTAAATTGGAAGGGAGGAGAACTGGATTCTAGCTGTGTGAGTCTCTAGACTACTAGGTAATTTTGTAAAAGCAATTTGGTCACTGTGTGGCTCTCTGTCGCCTCAGGTACTTATCTTAAGGGCTTTAAAAATATATTTACGGCTCAGCGCCTATAGTTCAACCGGCTAAGGCGCCAGCCACGTACACCTAGGGTGGCGGGTTCGAATCCAGCCCGGACCTGCCAAACAACAATGATGGCTGCAACCAAAAAATAGCCGGGCATGGTGGCGGGCGCCTGTGGTCCCAGCTACTTGGGAGGCAGAGGCAGGAGACTCGCTTGAGTTCAAGAGTTGGAGGTTGCTGTGAGCTGTAATGCCACGGCACTCTACCCAGGGGGATAGCTTGAGGCTCTGTCTCAAAAAAATATATATATATATTTACAATATATATAATATGCATTATATATATAGTACATCACATGTGAAAGTGTGGGAAATGAAACAAAAATAAAAAGTTCTTCCTGTTTCAGCTTATAAAAATGTAAAAGAATGTCCAAACCAATCCTGGAAAAAAGCCATATGGGACTGAACTGAAACTATCAAAATTGGCAGCTTCAGAGGAAGGAATGGACACTGCTAAGGAGCCACATGATATGCCAACAAAGCCTTTGGATTTGCACACTGCCTTGTCTAATACATCTCTGATGCTATCTCACCTTAATACACTAAAATAACTATTTTATTATGCTACTTTATTTTCAATAATCTGTTATACAGAAAAGACCTACAGAAATTCTATAAGAGGGTCTATAATCTAGTAACTTCAACTGACTTGCTCCTGTGTTATACCTCCTCATTACTCCAACAAGACTAACAAAAAGACTTTCACTAAGAAACTTGCTTCCATCTAGAACTTTATGAAACATATGCTTCTCTTTCTTCTTTTTTTTTCATAGACTAATAAGATCCTGACCAAGACCCACTTTATCCTCAAGTATGTAAGAGGTGGCCCAAAAATTTGCTAGTTAAAATTGGCTAGTTATGTGAACTTGGACACTTTATAGAATTTTACTTTGAACTGGAGTGAGGGTTGTTACACTTAAATGGGATATTGCTTGTAAAATGCTTAACATTATGGTTGCCACGCAATAATTTTAGCTATTATTATCAATGTGTCTCTATAGCTAGTCCTAGGTTTATGGAATTTTAGAGCTGGAGAAGCATTTTAAAGTCCAGTGTTCTTCCTTATTTTAGAGAAAACATGCCCAGAGTCACAGAAGGTTTCTGAGCCTTAGTTATCATGTCTGTGCACTTTAGAGCTCAGCTATGAAGATCATCTGTGCTAAGGAGTGGAGAAGCATTGACTTGTGAATTCTTTTTAACATTGTTGACATGAAATAGCTAATTGCCTTGACTGCTCAAAAATTGTAAACTGGGAATGATTTCTAAAGTAGCTTTTTGGTTCTGACAATAGAAAAATCAATGTATTTTCTTTCTTTTTGAAAATTTAGATGTATCCAGTTAAAACAGGCAATAGATGAAAATAAAAATGCTCTTCAAAAATTAAGTAAGGTAAGTATTATGGTTAATCACATTAGAAAAATCTTTTTATATATATTCATTAAGTGGGAATTAATTCAAGTTGGTAAGTTCCTGGGTTTGCATTAGTGATAAAGTCTATCTGCAATCAGTGCTGACTTCCCAAATAGGCTTGCTAAGTCTGTGCGTCAGAGTAAAAATGCCAGGACTCCAAATACTGAAAAGGTTCAGTTTTGGTGAACTCTGCTGCTCCATTGAGGACTCAGTCCTGGATGGAAGGAGCTATTTTTATTTTTGCACTTTGTAAGTTTTATATTTTACAGTTTAGAATTGTTTTTAAATTCATTGTGGGGAAAGAATAATCTGGTCCTGAGGGTAAGTCGTAAAGAAACTTCTTGTATCACACAGACAGGGCAGCTCTGATATCAATGACTGCAGAAATAAAAAGAAAGAGAATTTACCCTTGACAATCCTTCAGTATCTTTTTTTTTTTTTTTTTTTTAATGTCATGAGCCTTGCCCTAGGAGACCAGGGCCAAGATTCCATTTAAAGTGGAGAATGCCTGGAAGCTCCCTGGTCTTTTATTAACCCCCTTTACTGCATCGTAAGACACTTGGTCACTGAGCATTCTCCAGTGACTCAAGACTTTTCAGCATAGTAGACCCTATGTTTGAAAACCTAATTATTCCTGTTTTACTAATGAGGAAACTGAGGCTCTCAGTGATAAAGCAACCTTATCTCTACTGTCAGTAAATGGCAGAAGGTGGGATTGGCACTTCTCTTTGTCTCTAAAGCCAGTGTCCTGTCAAAACCTATCTCTTACTCTCTATGGAAAGTCTTCAAAACTTAGCAAGAAAACAAAACAAAAACCAAAAATAACTGGGATAATTTTATTTCTTACTTGGTGTTCATTTCAGCTTAATAATCTTTATTTCTTTTATAAATTTTATTTATTTCCCTAAGGTAGGTATAATCTCACAATGATATTTACTTTGTTTTATAGCACTTATGGGAATTTTTGTTATACTTTTAAATAGGAAAGTGAAATTAATTTTTCAATGAAATAGGTCTATATTCTCTCATAGGCTGATGAAATTGCACCTGTTGGAAACTATAATGAGAGAAAAGAAGAGGAGTATAATCTTTTGGATAAGCTTACCCTCCAGCTACAGGAACTTGCTATAGCCATAAGTAGAGAAGACATAACTAAGTAAGCTGCCTTCCTTCCTTCTTTAAAAGATACTATCACCAGTAGTTTTTATGTTTCACTCAAAATAAGGGCATATAACAGTATAGATGTAAAAAATGACTCTAACATTATAATCTGCCACCTTTTATCTATAATATCTAATGTAAAATGTTTAATCCTAGACCAGGCTCAGTGGCTCAGGCATATAATCCTAGCACTCTGGGAAGCCAAGTTGGGAGTATCACTGAAGCCTAGGAATCAAAATCAGCCTGAATAAGAATGAGACTCCATCTCTATTAAAAATAGAAAAATTGGCCTTGGGAAGCTGAGGCAGGAGGATTACTTGAACCCAGGAGTTTGAGGTTTCTACCCTAGGCTGATGCCATGACACTCTAGCCTGGGCAACAGAGTGAGACTCTATCTCAAAAAAAAGTATTCAATCTCATGAAAGATGTAAAGAAAAGTAATTTGTAGTTTCTGCTCTCAGGTATTTTATAATTTAGTTGGGGGAACAAAACAGAGATCTGAAAAGGTAAAGAAACAAGTATTAGAAAATAAGGATGATTCCTTTATGTCGGTGTTGATATGTAAAAGAAAAATGATTTAGATTGTCTATTTTTATAGTTCCCCTTTTATAAATATCCTTGAAATAGTTCAAGCAGAAACATGCATTGTTTTTTCTGTTGGAGTGAATGCTAATAATATACAAAGAAAATTACAAAGAAGACTTGCAGATACAAAGTATCCCTTATCCAAATGCTTAGATTAGTGTGTTTTAGATTTTGGATTTTTTCAGATTTTAGAATATTTGCATTATACTTACTGGTTGATCATTAATGCCTAATCTGAGAATCTGAAATTAAAAATGCTCCAATGAGTGTTCTCTTTAAGAATCATGTTGGCATTCAGAAAGTTTTGGATTTTGAAGTATTGTGGAGTATTTCAGATTTTTGATTTTCAAATCAAGTATGTTTACCCTATATAAATACATCCAGTTTGTGGGAAGCAAAAGAAAAAAGTCAATTATTCAGACTCTTTAAATTCTGTTCCTTAAATCTTATACAGTATTTAAAGGATGCTGAAGGATGTAGATGCAGGCATTCTAGAATATCCTCTGATTTCCAATACTGAGAATGACAGAGTTGCTGGTATCAGATTTAACGTCTATCATAAATAACCATAAAATCTGGACAAAATATCCAAAACAGCTATTTGAAGACACTGAATAGCAACTGAGCAGGGCTAATATTCTTGAGAGAGGAAGACACATGAAGTAAGTCCTACATTCACCGAACTTTCTCCCTGGGGATAATTTGTGGGCTAGAACATAGGAAAGTGGATCCTAGGCAGGGAACAATAGTCTCACTAGACTGAGGACTCAGAGATCACACTTTGAAGTTGCTGAGTCCACTGGGACTTGTGGAGCATGGTGCCATAGAGAGAAGGAAGTAGTAGAGAGACAACTCCAGAAATTTGAAGGGGATGTGTATGTAGTGCATGATTCTAGAAGGCATAGCCAAAAGTGCCTGCTGGGAGACTGAGAGCCTCACAGATCCTGGAGGTCTGCTGTCTCACATCCATGATGCAGTCCTGGAAAAACGGAGTTCCTACCTAGTTAAAATAAAGATACCTTGGTGAATGCTTCAGGAATTTAGTGGGGATCATAGAAGACCCATGCCCTAAGAGTAAAGAAAACACCCTAAGAATAACAACTGTGATCTAGGAATAATGACAAACTGAAGAAGATTTTTTCCAACAAAACCTGAAGGAAGACCTGACCAGGAACAAAATAATTTAACTGCGTAAAATTAAAAAATTCAAAACTTTTTAGAGGAAAGTAAAAGTATCCAAAGCCTCTAAATGTGTCCAGTAATATGTCCATCACAATGTCCTGCAATAAAAAAAAATTATTAGAAATGCAGAAAAGGCCCAAATGGTCTGGGTCGCCTAAGCAAGATGGTGGACTACAGTATGTAAGACCACATCGAGGTGTCTGATGATGAGGATGAGGCGCACCCCCACACTGACATGGCCAGCTTCTTCCACTCACGGCACCAGACCCAAGTGAAGTGCATGGAGCAGTCCCAGAAGGAAAACAAAGAGCCGGATGGGAGCTGCTGTGAGGGCAAGTGCGAGATGGAGCAGGAGGAGCTAGAGGTGGTCAAGGTCAACAAGGTGAAGCTGGAAAGACTACAGGGTGAAGCACAGCAGCTGCAAAAATTGGAGCAGAGCTGGGAGCAGAAGCTGTAGGAGATGCACAAGAAAGAGCACTTTTGTATCCACTGTGTCTGACATGGAGCCTGACAGACAGTGTCATTGTCATCATCATAACTGACTTTTGTGGGAAACTTGGTATGGGAAGGCACTTTTCCAAACACTTTGCAAGCAATAACTCTTCTTAGTTCTATGACAACCTTAGGAGAAAGAACCTATTATTATCTCCACTTTACCAGAAAGAATGGAGAGCTTAAAAGAAACATACCCAAAGTCACCCAGTGAAGTGGGGATGAGACCAGAATTTAAACCCAGAGCCTGTGCTCTGAGCCCTTGGTTATGCTGAAGCAGCATTTGCTGAATGGATGAGTTCAGGACTTGAATACAAGTCTCCTGGTCTCAAGTCCAGTGCAGTAGCTGATGTCTCACATCAGTGATGCAGCTCCTCCTTCCTTCTTCACCCTTGGTCTCTCCACTTATTATTCCCAGCTAGGTGATAGAAGCCATTATTGCCAGCTCCATATATGGTAAGGGACAGCTTGCTATATAAAATTATACTTGGTCTGTTCTTGTATGTTATTTTTAAGTGATCCTAGTCATAGAAATTTTTCTTTAGAGTTGAGGCCCTTTCTGAAAGAGAAGAATGTGACAATCCTGCTGAAGAAGAAGAAGAAGAAAGTGAAAGTGAAGAAAGTGAAGAAAGTGGTGGGGAAGAAGAAGATTCAGAAGAGGAAGAAGAAGAGAAACAGGAAAACGAATCTCACAAACAGGCAACAAGTAACAAATACATTGCGATCGGAGATTTTACTGCCCAGCAAGTTGGAGATCTTACATTTAAGGTACGTAGAATAAGACTGGAACCTAATCTGAGGATAAATGTGCATATCTGACAGAATAAGAAAACTCTTCGTATACTACTATATTACATATTCCTGAATCTGAAGATTCAGTCTACTTTAAATAAGTAATCGTGATTTATAAGCAGTAATAATGTGATACTCTGTTTTAAAATTACCTTTTCTAAAGATTTTTGAAAATAACTTTAATGTTGGTAATTCCTAGTGTCAGGGTAATATTTTATAATTTCTTTTCAAATGTCCTAAATATAAATTTATTCAGGTGAGTTAGGCATAGGGTGACCAGATTTTAACATCAGTAAGGCGGAACAACATGGCCAGGGGTGGGGTGGGGGAGGGGACGGGGC